AGTGATGGCCGTTAACATATATCAGCGTTAGACGTGGCGGAAGCAGAAGCCATATTGTTTGTCCGAGAGGAGGTTCTGAGAAGTAAGATGTTTAACCACTTCCGCATTGATTAGAGCCTCGAATACTTTGGTGAAAAAGGCGATAATTTGAGAAGTCAGGGTGTTCTCTAGAGTCCGTAATAACAGGAAATACAGAAGAGGAATTCCAATAATATAGCGTTTTACAGCGATTTAAAAAGGTAACGCTCGGTTGTCGCAAGATCAGGCGAATATGATGGCTGAGGTAGAACGGACCAACCGCATTCCAGAATGTTTTCCAGTATTATCGTTGCTATATGCGGCCTTTCCGTGTCATCGAGGTGAAGAACCTTTTTCCTTTAAACCACTGCGCGCAAAAATGAAGTCGGAGATTCGTCTGTGCTGGTCGAACTCTCTGCCCCCGATAAGAGAGGATCATCAGACGAGGCTATGTCGAAAGGCGAGACTGCCTTTTGACATAGCCCCGTCTGATGATCCAAGTCTCTGTATTCGGCTCTTCAAAAAGTGTGGATGGTTCCGCACAAAACCTTCACCACTATAATCAAATCTTATGTGCTGCCAGTTTCCTAGAAACTGATTTGATATACAGTTCGTTAAAATTTAGCTCTGTTATTTTACATCGAGCACTATTTTGTTACCCCCAGTTCGTCGCAATCCCACTGATTTGGAGGGAACCAACTGACCATTCATGTAATTGCTTCTTTTGCATGGTGGACACATCCAAGCGTCAAAATGGCAAGAGTGTACCTATATCCAAATTTTATGTTATTTATCGCCCAGTGCCACATTACCCTGAGCTCCCCGTACTCACTCCTCTAAAGAGAGAAAGACCATCTTCAGAAGAGAGCAGAGATTCAGAAGAGGATGAGGTAAATTGATCCAGATTATAGAAGGGCAGCTGAGGAGAGAAACCCATACTACTTCAACCAAAAAGGCTTCGATGACCTGATCAGAGATCTTGGTCTCACATAATCCACTGCTGAGTTTTTGACGTCGAGATTCAAGCCGTTGAATTTGTTAGATGAAAATGTGCATGTCGCAGGTCAGAGAAAGCGTCACCACAGTTTTTCGAATTTTTCACCTGTAAAGATTAGTTTTGATTCTGCCACAATGGAACGGTCTGTTCGGGGCAGTTGGAATCATCTGTAACCCCAGCAAGTGGCGCCTCTTCATCTCGGGAAACAGCTACCCGACCCCGTTTTATACGGGGTCTACAGGGAATTTTTGGCCGAGCCTACAGGCTCGGATACCCCACATTAAATTGGATCAGTCCCACCTAGTGTGCCGCGGTGTCCGTGCTGTCCCAAAGGCAAAGATAGCAAGGAGACTCGATAAAGCCACCTTGCCACCTTTTTGAAGTCTCCGATAGCCTAACTATACTCTTGTATTTCAAGGCTTCTAGCAAGATCTTGCTGCATTCCTTTTTGAGCTGCACCGAATGAGTCAAGGGAAAAGATGAATATATTTTCCCGTTATGAAACAGCACGACTTTGAGGCTTATGTATGAGCTGTCGATGAAGAGGCTCCACTTGCTTTTGAATTCAGATTTGTCCTTCTCCTAGACCAGTTGCCATCCAAAGCTATAGAACCTAATCTTTCCTGATATTTACCCATAGCTGGAGGGAGAAGAAGAGGATTCACACCTTTCCCGAGGGTATTAGCACGTAAGTGAATTGGAAAAGGTATTAATCCTCACTTCTCAAGTGAATGTAATGAATTCGAACTCGGCTATTCGATTCTTCAATCTGAGCTGTTATCTACTACTCCACCGTGCCTTTTATATATATATATATATATATATATATATATATATATATATATATATATATATATATATATATATATATATATATATATATATATATATATATATACAGTATTACATTAGTCGGACTATTGTCCTCATCTTTGTCGCCATATTTGTCACAACGTTTCGGCCGTTGTACGCTCCGGCCTTCTTCAGGTGGTTGGAATTTCGAACTGAACCCTTTATTTCGATCGCTGGGGTAGACTGTTCTAATTCCGTGCCATGTTTGATGGATGTCAGTTATCAGTTATCTCCTGCTAATTTTCCCTCTGAAAGTTCTCCACTGCCTTAACCAGGAATTGAACTCACCTTCTTTGGGTCTGTCACTGTGCCATGTGTCCTTGAGGACATCTGGGTATGAACTTCTGAGTATTATAAACCTAATGTTTTCAGCATCATTTTTACCAGTGCTCATATTGCAATTTTTTGCTGTTATCATTGCATGTCTATATATATATATATATATAAACAACAAGTCTTATCCAAAATAGATAACTGAAAATTTTTAAAATGATCAGCTTTCCGTTTAGCATGGTCACGTTGTCGTCACATGGGCGACGCTTTCAAAACGTATTCCTAAAAATTTTTGATTATTTTGAATGAAAAAGAAAATGAAAAGAATTCTATTATGATCTAAAAATTTTATGTGTATGCTTGTCGAGCATGTCCATCGTCTTTGTCAAATTGAACTGAATTGTATTTTAATGAATATTGTCTTGAAAAGGTTTATTAAACCGAAACGTCAGACGTCGACATTTCATTCATTTTAAACAACATAATTGCATTTAAGGATTTTTTGTTTGTTTTTCAAATTTTTTTTTCTATATATATATATATATATATATATATATATATATAATGACTGACCGTTCCTATACGAGTCTGCCTGTCTGATAAAGCGGACAGCCATTGCTTGTCGGAGACACCTTCCCAGACACGTTTATAATTGTTCCATTTCCACGTACCCCACCTGCTGTTTATACCGCAAATATACTAAGCGGGACTTCGTTACAGTTTGTGGAAGAGCACATCATCTGTCGTGATCAACAGTTTGAACGAGGCCAGTAGGCTCAAAGTCTCGGTCACGATGACTTGTAACATCGGGCATGCACACCCATCGATGAACAATTCCGTCTACTTGACTACAATCACGGGGTATATTTCTCCGGCCATTTCCGAATGTGCCGCACGCTGGCATCGCTGCCACAAGAACATAACATCAAGAAGTCAATCTACTGACACATTGTCCATTATGAGATCCAATGGTGGGGAAACCAACATTATAACCACTCGACCACAGGTGGTTAATTTTTCTTTTGTCATACATGAATGTGAGGCCATTAATTGTTCACAATTTTAGATAATCTGCTAAAAACAATAATATTCTCCAGTATTAATGTACATGATCAGCGTTCTGACATATTGAATAAAAGTAATTTTTTTATGGCAATAGATGGTCGTTTATTTTAAGTCTTAGCTTTCGTTGTATTCTACTTTGAGTGCAAGTGTTGATACTTGTGAAAGTTTTTTGAATAACTTACAGTGAAGCCATCAGAGCTGCCATGATATTGATTGACATTTATAACAGGTACACAATTATCTCCCTTGCGTTTTTTGTCACAATCTTTAATATGAAATGAAAAGTTAATTTTCGATTTTATGAAAGAATCGGAAAATTTAACGAATGAACATTATGCGCATGCGTATTTGTATTTGTAAGTTTTCTTCATCGATTATAACAAGTTCATTACTAACATAATTCCGAATAAAAAGAAACTTTGATCGATTTAGTCCAGTTTATTTGTATATGTGTATTTTTTTCATCATTTTTTTATGCTGCCATGTCACTTTTTTTTTATTGTCATTTTCCATGTATGTTTTTTATTATTTGTTTTCATTTTCTGACATGTTATTTTGTGGCTGGGGGCGTCGGGTTGTGGCGATAAACTTTAAAATCTGTTGAATAGACATCATTCCATAAATGACGCAAACTTTACACTAAAGGAATAAAAAAAACATTAATAGAAGTAAAAAAAAAAATCATAGTTTTTTTTTTCTTTTTTTCTTTTTGATTATTTATTGATTAATTGATTGCCTTCATTTTTTTCATTACTATTTTTTTTTTTTTTGATGTGTAATATTTTGATGAGTGTCAAACTTGACAAGAGCGCGAATTGTTGAGATATACTTATGGGTTCGAACACTTTGCGTTGCGCAAAAGCAATTAAATATCGTCAAAGAAAATCTATTGAAAACATTTATATTTTTAACCGTTTTCTTCGAGACAAGTGAGAAATAAAGATAAAAATCATTGCCAAAGTAATCATTCCAATGATGAAAGACCTCATTTAATCGCTGCTTTCATTTTTGGTTTACATTTTTTTTTTTTTTTTGTCCATAAAATAAATAAATGCAAATATTGGATGTAGATAGATAGATAGATAGATAGATAGATAGATAGATAGATAGATAGATATCGTTATAAAATGACAGAGATCATTTCACACTTAGGGACTAATATGAATCTAGTAGAGAGATAGATACGAAATAATCTTCGTGTTGTGACCAAGTAAATAGTTAATTATAACAAAACCAGGTTTGCAGGTATATCGTATATTAAACAGTAAGTACACCAGAAGAGTATAACACGACTAGTGAGAATGTATCGAATGAACCAGCGCTCAATCTATTCACTGTTCACTGTACTCCCCGAACCTTCTCTCCTACTAAACTTATAGTAGGCGAAAGAGTCTTAGAGGGAGGACACCACAGCACTTTGATAGATAGATAGATAGATAGATAGATATGAATAGACTGATATGAAAAAATACATAAATATAAAAATTATATGATTAGACAAATAGTTAGATAATGAAGTGATAGATCGATAGATTTTGAACAGAGAAGATAGATCGATAGATAGCTAATATATAGATAGATAGATAGATAGATAGATAGATAGATAGATAGATAGATAGATAGATAGGAGGAAATTGATATGAGAAAATACATAATTAGGACGGTATGAAAAGACTGATATGATTAGATAGATAGATAGATAGATAGATAGATAGATAGATAGATAGATAGATAGATAGGAGGAGATTGATATGAGAAAATACATAATTAGGACGGTATGAAAAGACTGATATGA